GCTTGATAAATGTGGTGATGGTATTAATTGCGAATTTCTATTGTTTGCATGCGATTGTATGTGAAGAATGCATGAGAATATATTGTAGGTATATGTGCAATGTTTGGTAAAGGTGATGATGATGTTGGGAGTATGAATACTTTGATGAAATGTGTGGTGTGTGTAATCATGATATAATTCTTGTGTGATGAATTATTTGATAATGCATGAGATTAAGATGCAAGCACGATGTTAAGTGCATTGGTTGTTAGTTTGGTACACACTAGGGTAGAATGACTAATGATGTCGTTCCTAGTGGGAAAATCATTGGCGTAGAATGACTAAAGTCATTCCTTATGAGGTATGAGTGTTGGTACGCACGAGAGTAGAATGGCTAATGATGTCGTTCCTAGTGGGAAACTCATTAGGGTAGAATGACTAGAAGTCGTTCCTAATGAGGTATGAGTGTTGGTACGCACTATGGTAGAATGACTAATGATGTCGTTCCTAGTGGGAAACTCATTGGGGTAGAATGACTAGAAGTCGTTCCTAATGAGGTATGAGTGTTGGTACGCACTAGAGTAGAATGGCTAATGATGTCGTTCCTAGTGGGAAACTCATTGGGGGTAGAATGACTAGAAGTCGTTCCTAATGAGGTATGAGTGTTGGTACGCACTAGGGTAGAATAGCTAATGATGTCTTTCCTAGTGGGAAACTCATTGGGGTAGAATGACTAGAAGTCGTTCCTAATGAGGTATGAGTGTTGGTACGCACTAGGGTAGAATGGCTAATGAGGTCGTTCCTAGTGGAAGACTCATTGGGGTAGAATGACTAGTATGTCGTTCCTAATGAGGTATAAATGATATAGTCGTACTCACTGGAGTAGAATGATAAGATATCATTCCTAGTGGAGTAATCACTAGGGTAGAATGATAAGGTATCATTCCTAGTGGAGTAATCACTAGGATAGAATGACTATGTGTCGTTCCTAGTGAAATGATCACCGGGGTAGAATGACCGAGATGTTGTTCCTGGTGGGGTACAAGTGATGTACCCATAACCTCAAATGGATATTGATGAGAATTGGCGTGTTTATATGAATCACACGACATAGCCATGATTGTGGTATGAAAGTATGCATGTGTGCAATTGTGTATGACTTGTGGAATTGAGAGTTGTGAATAAACATGATTGTATATGTTTATATGAATTGTGGTGAATTAAACATAATGTGTATGTGTATGTGGATTGATTGAAACTATGGATGTGTACATGATGAATATGCTTGGTGATTATCCATATATATATATATATATATATATATATATATATATATATATATATATATATATATATATATATATATATATATATATATATATATATATATATATATATATATATATATATATATATATATATATATATATATATATATATATATATATATATATATATATATATATATATATGTATATATTGTGATGTATATGATGAGTTATGATAAATTGTGGTGAGAAAATGTGGAATATGTGTATTATATGCTTGTGTATACATATTTGATTATATGCATTGTTATTATGATAATATTTCTCACCCTTCTGCTGAATGATGTCCTATATGGCATCGTGCAGGTATCAAGAACAGAGCTGCTTGTAGTTGCGAAGTCTCTATTGGTGTAATTGTTTAGTAATTTAATTATGTTGGGTCGAGTCATGCTCTGGTTATGTAACACTGAGATCGTTTGGTTTATGTTTTACAGATACTTTATGTACTATCCACTATGTTTTTGTATTCATTGGAATATTATGATGTTGACCTTAGTGCTTAAGTAATGTTGATTTATGTGATGAACACGAATATTCTGTTAAGAGAATTATGTTATAGAAGGAATCCGCTGCTACATGCAAAGTGAAATTGTGAGAAGCATGATTATTTATTATAAGTGTTAATGAGCATGACAGGTGGTTTTGATGTTTTGAAAGTGATGTGTGACGCCCTTTTGTATATGCATGAGAATTTACTCTGATTATTCATATATTTTCCGTAGGTTTAAGATAATGAAGTCAAGGTGTTTTACCGAAATTCCTTAACATGAGTTAGTCAAACTAGCTGCAGGGGGTCTGAACTATTCCATTAGAAATAAAATGAATACCCAATACCTGAGGGATCAATTAGTAGACAAAGTTCGACAAGTAGAACATTTGAAAGCTAAGACGGTCAGGTCAAGTAAGTATAATGATAAAGAAAAAGTTGCATATGTAGAGGTAGATGAAATTGAATAAGTATTTGACATTAAGTGTGATTATGTCGAAAAGTGAGGTTAACTTGGCAAAAGTAAATCTGACATTTTTATGTGTATAAGGTGTTGAAACCTTCAAATGGGAAAAATATTAGTCGAACCTACCAAAAATGAGAAATTTGTCACAAAAACATACACATTTGATGTAACTAAGTGTGACAAAATCTTTGACTTGTTAGTTTCTGTGGCCAAATTCTAGTCTCTAAAGGACTCAAAACACCGCCATTGAAACAAAAAAAGAAAAGGGAGTTTTGTAAATTCCATTATTTTCTTGGTCACAAGACTTCTCAATGTATCATTTTCAGGGATTTGGTACATAATGCTCAAAAGGAAGAAAAATGTTTTTTTTTAAAGAAAAAGCCCTAGAAGGAAGATGATTCAGGCCCCAAGGCAAAAGAAGCCCTCTTTGTCGAGCCTGCGGAGGTATTGATGGTTGATGTTACTGAAAGCCTCGACACCAAAACTGACGAGGTGAACATGCTCGACTATAACAAGCAGATAAAGGTGGTTTATCCTAGAGTTGAAGAGATGCTGATAGATTTCTTGAACATGTGTAAGCTTAAGGATTTTGAAGTCATACTTTGTCTCCGCTACAGTGCAGGTTTCAACAAGCAAGTTTCCAAAGAGGTGAAGAAGATCAAACATCACACTCATCAACAAAAGAGATTTGGTAAACAAGACAAGCAAGGAAATTTTGTCTTCAACAAGAGGGAAAATCCTCCCAAAGTACAGTAAAGCAGGACTTATGTCACACCAGACAATGCTCCCTTTGGCGAATGGGTTAGACCTGCAAGAAAAAAAAGATAATGATCAACATGAATGGTGATCGATTAAAGTTGGTACAAGATCATAGTACCAAGACAGCTCACAAGTGTCTAAGAAGTATTCTTATACTTATAAGAACTACTCGAGCAAGAATCTTATGACTAGGACACAATAGAGAAGATATCAATGTAAGAAGAAGGTTGCCTTTAAAGCAGAAAGTTCAAGAAAAAGTGATAGTGTTCAGATCACTAATGAAGGTAAGTCAAACAAAAGGCATATGAACAAAAGTTGTTTCCTCCTTTGCCACCTGTGGCGAAGCCTAAGGAAAAACATAACATACCTGACCAAGATAAAGACATGGCCACTGATGATTTTGATTTTAGCTCAAAACCTGAGCTAGATATAATATGTAACTTCATATTAGTATTGCGAATTGAATATGATATAGTCACTGAAGTGATCGAAGAAGAAGACAATGAATTGGCAGAGGAGTTGGCGAAGCATAAACCCTTATGCTATTATGTAATGAAAGACGATTATGTTGATGAAGACAATAACATATTTGAACGATCTAATATGGCCATGCAACAACATTTAAAGTCATTGTTCATAAGGGTTAAGGTCAAGAATGTGGGCATAAACAAGGTTTTTAGTTGACGGTGGAGCGTGTATCAACATAATGTCACACCCTTTACTCAGGAAGATTGGCAAGTTCGACACAGACTTAAAACCTCACAGCATGGTTCAATCGAACTATGAAAGAAAGACGAGTAAAATCCTATGGGTTATATTGATAGATCTTGTAACAACCTCTAAACCCACTTTATTTGTGGTTGAAAATCTGATGGTATTGTAGAGAATATTAAGGTAGATCAAAGTTATTTTTTAAGTGATGTGAACCACGTAGACAAGAATAAATTTGATAGACAATTGGTGAACATTTCGTCAAGAACACTTACTGGAACTAGATTTTCCTTGCAAAGAGATGTCTATTATTCAATCAAGTTACATCCCACTCATGAATTTATGTGGAAATATGAGACCATCGGTGAACACACTTGCTCGAATTTCAGCTTATGTGGCTGAAAACAAAATAAGAGTAGCCTTAGAGGCCGAATCCCAACAAGAGGTGGTTGTCAAAGCCACAAATAATTGAAACCGTAAAACAATTCAAGATCAGCTTCAGTTGTATCTATGATGATGAACCTTTGGGGTTTGAGAAAGACCCTTTTAACTTCAACCAGGCAGAATGAATGTCTGCAAAGTCAAAAGTTAAAGCAGAATTTAATTCAGTTAAACGTAGCAGACCTGTATATAGCTCTGCACTATGTAATTCAATTACCAACAGAAATGAAAAATAAATTGAAACAGAAAGAGAATGGATGTCTCTGCAAAGTTAAGGCAGAAAACAGAAAGAGAATGAATGTCTGCAAAGTTAAGGCAGAATTAGTTTCTCAACACCTATGTTTTGAAGAGGAAGAAGGAGGCCCAGCTGCGAGATCTACAGAAGTTTTCTTCCTTCGTATACAAATCGGATTGAATAACTCTCCCATTTATTAATACTTTTTGAGAAAGAAAATTGTGTAACACAATTTTACATTTGTCCAAGAATAAAAGTACTCTTTACTGACAAAGATTAAAAAGAAAAGATTGAAAAGGGAGACCCCAATAAAGATATTCAACAAATTCATTAGTGACAAATTGTCAACAGATTTTATACATACCATAATGAGAGGGTGGCTAGCACACGCCCATTGTTTGCAAGAACTGATAACATTACAATGAAATATAAACATAATTTGGGTTAACTAAGAATAAATTAAGGTATACTGGAAGGTATATGTTCAGCGACCTGATATAGATGAGGGACAAATTGGTGAATCAAAACCTAAAAACCTAGGCTGATAAAATTACAAATAGAAAGAACTATGCTACATAATTAATACAATGAATCTCATCGTTGGGCCTGATCGGCAGTGTGGTTGCTAGTTGCAGATGAGGATGGTGCCTTACCATTCAAGACTCCGTTGTCCATAGGCGGAGAAGATCCCCACTTACCCTCTGATTCACTTGGTTCTATCACTTTGACAGACCCATCACTCAACCCAACAGCAAACTGGTTAGGTTCTAGTGGATGAGCCGCAATCACAAGAGGATACACAGCTTGGCTTCTGCAACACACAACACCAGTAAATATTAAGCTTGAAGCTCATAAACATAAAGTTTGCTGTCTATCTATCTTAAGATAGGTTTCCCCTTATTACACTAAGGGACGTTCACGCATTTGTTCTGTTTTTTTGTCCCTTCCAAATCCATGCAAGAAGAGCACTGGATCTTTACTAGTTAGTAGTTACAAATAACAAATCACCACCCACCTTAACCCAAGCAGGAATGTTTGTTATCCACAAAAAAGGCATAGTATAGTTGATCTTTGAATTGGAATTATTATTACAGAGTGCATTCTACTAAGCTGAAACTTACCTATTTAAGGCGGCTGATGACAAGCATATTGATGGGGCAATTCGACATCTTAGTTTCAAGCTCTCTGCATCAAAAACCCCAATGTTTGCATCACAGAATGAAGCAAATATTAACTGACTGTTGCAGGAATACGCCGCATATGATATGGGAGCAGGCAGAACATCTTGGGGAATCCACTGCAGCAAAAGAATTTATGAGCATATCTCAGTTCCAATTTTGTCAGCAACCAGCAGTTCTCTACTAATATGTAGAGAAAAATCTTACCTGCCGAATGCGTTCCATCTTGGAGGCATCATATATTGCCAATTGAGTCTCATGGACTACCAATAAGCGAAGTTGGTCAGAATGGAACTGAACACGTGTATCACCAACGGGTGGCTTTCCCGCAGGTAGTTGAATTGGGATTGATTTTCTTTTCTCCCATGTATCAATGCTCCATACACACAGCTGTACAACATGTAGAAATTTTTAAAACGAAAGAAAGGCAAAAACATTGAGCAAAACAAAAGGCCACATTTCCTATTGGGAGAACAATGCAATAGATAAAAGTGGTGGAGGCACAAATTTGTAAAAGAAACTTCAACTTAAGCACCACAGAGAAGAAAAGTATAAAGCCAAATAAAAATCCAAAAAACATAAGTGCAACAATCTAGCAACTTAAGACATCCACTCATCATTCAGAACTCTCCAACCTTTTCTCGGCTAATCATAGAAATTTTTATAGGATAGATATTTAGAATTAAATAAGAAAATAGGTAGAGTCAAAGAAAACCAAAAATGAGAAAATTATTTTGAATAACAATAATTCCAATGAAGCATACCCTTCTCATTTTTATTTTTATTATCTAATAGTCCAGAATTTGCAAGCAATACAGTTTGTAAAATGAAAAGTATAACAAGCAAAAGAAGGATAAGTACAAACGATGGGAAGTAGGATAACCAACAAAACAATCTCCAAAACAAATTATTAGACACTAAACTGATCTACATAAAAGATTTCTCATGCCACTCAGAATCTTGTCAGAAAGGAGCATGGCTAAAGGACTTACGTGAGCATCAGCACCAGATGAAACCAGTATGTTAAGATTGGTTGAAAACGCTAAACCAGTAATACGTCTCTGGTGACCCTTCAATTTTGATTTCACCTGGAAAATACCCCCAAAAGCAGGAGAAAAAAATGCTCGTGGAGATAAGTTTAAAAAAAAATAATGTAATCATTAAAATAAAAACTAGCAAACGCGGGTAATCACCTCATCCACTCTGACATTATAGATATGAATGGTTGAATCCTCCATCCCAATGGATATAATGTTGTTATCTTGGGGATGGAATGCTAGGAAGGTAGAGGCAGGAGGTGGTGACATGAATGTTGTCATTACCTAAAAAAAGGAAGACTATCAGTAGCCAATAAACTTGTTGCTTAATTGAATATCGGGTCGTATATCCGGATACACACCTTGAATGTCATCATGTTAAACAGTGAAACTTTTCCACCACAGGCAGACATTACATATGAGTCATTTTTTGAGAGTGCAATGCAAGGGACTGCTTCTTCAAGGTTGACACCCGCAATATCATTAGTCATAAGAAGACCACTGTTGGGTTGCCAACGTTGTGGAACAACACTGGCAGTTGCCTGTAATCACGGGAACTTCAGACTTATGCTCTCTATTGAAAGGTAAAAGGCTAACAAATAGTATAAAGAAAGAAAAAAAAGGATTGAACCAAGAAATACATAAAGTAATTTATTTGCTTAAGACAACCTTCCCAATAGGATTCTGTTCATTGCGAGCCCATTTCCAAAGCTTCTGAACGCCATTAGAACCAAGGGCCAAAACACCAACAGCAGAATTTGTATATAAAAGTCGTACAACCTATATACCAATCAGTACATTAAATTAAAGCATAGAAGAATACAAAATTTGCAATAGACTGATGGTGATCTCATAAATTCAGCAGTATACAGACCTTGCTGAAAGAGTCTGTGTTGTCAGGCAAGGTAACTGATCGGCATTGAACAGGATCCAGAATTTCAGACAATTGCCATGGTTTAGTTCTATCAGATGCATCTTCCACAGTTCTTGATTTCTCTACACTTCGACTCATGGGATCAACTCCATTCTTGATTGAAAAAGCCAAAATCATTCCATATAATTCAAATAAGTATTATGTTACAGTAAATAATTATAAGTAACTTAAAAGGGATAAATGACAGCTAACAAAGTTGATCCCATAGGAAAAACACCAGATTATAAAGTAAAATAGATTCGTGCACACCTTTTGGATCTAATAGTAAGCTTATAATATAAGGCTCCACATAAAGTAGAAAGCAGAAGTATTAAATTGTTCGTCCTTTATAGTATGCAAGGGTATGCTAAACAAACTATATAAGAAAGAATAAACATACCAAAATAGTCTACATGCAGTGTGCAAGTGTGTATACTGTGTGCAAAAATGAATATATCAGTGCCATCATGCTAGCATCAAAATATAGGTGTAATTTACAAGGTCAGGTTCATACAAGAATTGGAGGCGGTCTGACAGGAGAGCTTCTTTCCACTTTACAGTTGACCGGATTAACATTAACAGTAGAAGAGCCAGATACCTGTAAAGCATAAACAAAGTGGACTGTACACATTTTGATCTTAACTTAAGGAACCACTCAAAGGTTTAAAGAATTATATAGTCTATATTACTACCTTGATTGCAGCAGATTCAATGGGTGACCTCAATGCTTCAAATGCTGGAGTTTCAATTGTTCTTAAGGATCTAAGACCAGTAGCATTGGCCAGTATTTTGAATCCATTATCCACAGTAGTGACTGCGAGAATATTTCCTTCCTTATTGAATTTCAAACGTGGAAGGCCCTGAACACAGATTCGAACAGTCAGATAAGGGATGTTTTGTAAATTGTGGTTATACTCCAGAAGACTTCAAACACTTAAACATTAAATCCTGACCTGTAATCCACCATCTGCATCAGTGCTTGTTAGAGGATTAATATTGTCCATGTCCCAAAACTTCACTTGGCCATCTTCACCAGCAACCAAAAAGCGGTTTTGGGTTGTGTCAAACTGCACAACACCGGTAGATTTCTTTCTGAATCCATTGTATGTTCTCTTAATGGCTCCTTCACTTTCATTCCATTCAACAAGGAAAGACTCTCCGTCTTTACTTGTCCCGCAAGAAAACAATCTGGGAAAGATGGGAAAATACATTGGCAGGCGTGATAAGACACTTTAGAAAATAAACATGCCACTTAATCAATAACTACTCGTCAAAATCAAACCTACCTACTTCCGTCAGCACTGTAAAGCATTGTAGTACACCAATGACCAGGAGCATTGTAGTCCACCCTAGAACCCATGCTATCATATAACCAGGCCTTTATTTTCCCATCAATGGCTGTTGAAAATATGAACTGCAAAGTTACATTAACAACTTTTAGTGTATGCATTCGTATGTATGTACATATAGTTTGCAGGAAGATAAATAGTACAAATGCTTATGTATAAGGGCCAATGTATCTGTGCAATAGGATGGGAGCTATACTTATCTAAGAATACAATAACTGAGACCACCTGATAGAACACCATGGCCGAATAGGTTTGATGACTCATTTGTTGGGCCCAAGTCACACACCTCACACATTTATAGCTTCTAGGTTGTAGAAGCTGAGGGATTAGGAGTTAGTTAGGACTACTACTGATTTTTAGGGAATTTTCTGTTATAAAAGAAAGAGGAGGGTAGGGAGTAATTCATTCAGAAACTTTGTTAGAATCAGTTAGGAGAGACTCTCTCTGGCTTAGAAGCAATTCTGCTCTGGTCTAGGACTTCTTGCAATTCTGGTGTCATTTCCTGTTTTGCTTTCCACTTTCCCACCATTGTAAAAGCTTTAAGCTCAATTATTTGCAGTAAATAATACAGTTTACCCAATGAATTTTCTATTTTTTAAATTTTCTATTTTGTATTCTTAAGAAAAGATTTGTTATAATTTCACCATGAACATTGCCTGAGAAATGCCACCTTGTTTTTTTCCATAGTACAGAGATAAAGGCAAACAAAACAAAAACACTATGGGCAACCAAGCTCATATCGGTGCAGCAATATGAGCACATACTTGTATGACAAACTATTTCTATTGAGTTGATAATTGTCACTCAGGGAAGTACAGGAACAAAAGCAAGTACAGGAACAAAAGCAGTAACAAGTGTCACTGTCACAAATTACAAGGTAACATGCTATTGGTTCTGTGATTCGAAACCCAATGTATGCCATACAGTTGAGTTCACATCCTTAGTGGTTTCAAACCCAGTGATGCTCGTATCCTGTTTGCTTCGGCAATCTCTGGATCTGGATGGTCAGTCCCGTCATCCTTCTTTTCCTTCTTTTCTTTCTTCTCCTTCTTCCTCTTTGGCTCCCCATCCTCAGCTCCATCTCCATGTCTTCTAGGACTAACGCTACTTCGGGCATGTCTCTTCCTGTAGTCCCCACCATCATGTTCCTTGCGATCCTTGCTTCTACTTCGACTCCTTGAGTAGCTCCTCCTCCTACCACGGTCGCGATCTCTGTCTCTCCTCTCTCGCTCCCTACCCTCTCTCTCACGACCATAATCCTTTTCTTCCCTCACACGATATCGGTCTCTGTCCCTCTCCCTATCTCTGTCCCTTTCCTTTTCCCTATCTCTGTCTCTATCTCGGCCACGTGCACGCTCTCTGTCATAATCTCTATCATATTCTCTGTCATAGTCGCGATCCCTATGAAAAGCACATCAAAAAATCAAATTATTAGTAAAATTCATAAGCCAACAACTCAGTTACATATTTGATGGAATCACCTACTAACATGCAGAAAAGACAGGAGAAATACTACGACATTTTTTGTAAATATTCAAGGACTGCAACGCTATGAAAGTTTCAGCATATGTTCATCCCAGCCTTGTAAAAGTTCATGTTTCTCTTGCCTCTACTATTGTTCTAGACTAAGGAATTTTCTTTCGTTGTATAAAAGCTTTGCATAAAATTTAAACTCTCATAGATGTTTAATAGTCATAACATATAACCATGTGGAGAATTATTCATATTAAACTCAGATTTAAAAAATAAGCAATGAGATAATCCAACATTTATTTAAAAGGGAAAATTCAATCCTAAATATACATGACCATGATCATGAAGAATTCTAATGCAACATAGCTGTTTGACCCATCATACTTCTCAACTGCACACTGTCAGTGCAGAGAAACCTGGCAGGATCATTTAATTTTACTATAGGAAGCGGTTGTATACCACAAATGGATTTTAATGCCATAGTGGAAATAGAAGTATAACTTAGTTAAGTTATATGTGCATATGTGGCGTGTGTCTGTGAGTGAGAGCAAGGCTCTGCACGTTCAGAAACAGCTTCCAATATAAATCCAAAAGATACACTCATGCACAAAGTCAACTATAAACCAAAAAAGCAAATAAAAAGTACAAGAGAAAAGCTATTTAAATGAGAACATTCCTATCTACATCAACTCATAAGATGTTAAAAAACATTTGCAAGGTGAGAAGTTTGACCTGTGTCGATGACTTTCCCGTCTTCTATCCCTATCTCTTTCCCTTGTAGGGCTTCGCCCACGATAATAATCCTGTAAATCATTCAACAATCAACCAAAACATCATGACCATTTGCATAAATATCAAAAAATAAGATGAAAAGTATATTGCTTAAGAAAGGAAAGCACCTTCTCGTGGGTTTTATCTTCTAGCTCATCGGCAGGTTGTTCATTATCCTCATTCTCCTCTTCCTCCTCAAAATCCTCTTCAAGTGCACTTTGCCTAGGTTCTAATGAACCAAGAGATTCAAGAGTCCACCTACAGAAAACATATTATAAAAACTAAATTTCTCCACATCACAAGTGCCCACTACTCAAAATACTAACAAGAAAGAACAAAAAGACACAGAAACCTATCATGCAAGTATAGACTGAGCTAGCAGAATAAAAGCCTTAAAATTAAAACTAAACATTCCAATAGAGAAAAAAAAAGATACAATAAAACAATACCTTTTCTTGATGCGCGGCATAGCAATATCACAGGAATAATCAGTTGTGAGAAGTTCATCAATGACCTCATCAACATGTGTCAAAGCAAACTCTGCAAAATCACACGCAACACGTAACATTAACAAACAGATTATAGATAATTACATTGCAAGTAGAATACAAGATACAACTATAATTTTTATGGCGCAATAACATTTGAAAACTTACGTCCGTCAGCTAATTTTCGCCTTAGCTTTCTATAATCATTATACAATGGTTCCAGGTAATGGTACACATCAGTATCAGATCCAGTAAGGCGCAGATAGAAAGCGCCAAGTATCCTCACATACCTGCATTTCATTTTGAAAACGGAACATTAACAAATTAGGTTACCGAAGAAAAGTAGAACCCAAATCTGAAACTGATAGTAATTTCTAGAGATAAAAGGCACGATGAATACTTGTAATCATCGTTTTTTATGAACTCGATGACGATTTCTTTCTCAGGCTGAATCTGGAGCATTTTCATGACAAGGCACATGAAGGGAGTGGGTTTGCGGTTGCCACCGTAGGTGCCGCCGAGGTGGTCGAGTTCCATGGCCTTGTCGACTAAGGTCTCCGCCGTTAAACCGAAACATTGTTCCTTCCAATAGGTGTTCTGATAGATCTTTGAGCGGAGAATTTTTTCCACTAGGTTCTGAGGATTTGTTCCTCTTATGCTCTTCGCTGCTGGATCCGTACGATTCGCCATTGGTAACGACGGATTGAAAGATGGAATTCGAATACAGAAACCCTAAATCCTCTCCACTCAGGGAGGAAGAATCAGAGCTTCACGAAACGCAGTAGCTGTTGGATTTTATAAAATATTCTCTACTCTTTTTACAAATTTTATAAATTAATTTTACATTATTATCGAATTGAATTATAATATTATCTATAACAATATATTATAAAGACAATACATACATTGTTTTGGTGTAACTATTTATTTTTTAATTTTGTTTAATAATTCACATTATTATTCCATTAGCGTCCAAACGGACACGGACGTGCCCGTTTAGGATAAGAGTGACACTACCTTATTTTAGAAAATAATAATTAATTTTTTGAGTCACACATAAGTATAATTCTTAACTTATAAATCTGAAGTTTAGTTTATATAGATATATAGACATAGCCTATAGGTAGATAAACTAATTAACAAAATAAAAATAAAAATTTGATGAGTATTGTAACTTAAGTTTACTAGTATTATTAATACTAAATATAGCAAGAGAAGAGAGTGTAAGATTTATTTTGAGTGACCTACTAACTTAAAAATATAATTCTAACTTATTGCAAGAGATAGTAAAAAAAAATGATATATAAACATAATTCTAAATTTAATTTAATTTAAATTATAAAATTAATATACATTTATGATGTAAAAAAAAGTGATACAAGCATAATTATCTAAACATATAATTTTTATAAATTAGATTATCATCTTAAATATTATCTAATTTAATAAATAAATGAAAACATATTTTATATTGTAGTGCATTACTATTAATTTTATATATAAATATTAAATGTATTTTATATAGAAGCTATCTTGTAGACCAAGAAAAAGCAGAACCTATGTTGATCTTTCGCTTCACGTCCACGTCCCCACTCCTACGTTGGAAGTTAAATTTTGTACCCCACTTACCCTATTTTCTGCTACAAATTGTCGTCTCTATCGTAATAACAGAATAACTACTACCTCGTACGTCTATAGTTAATCCCATGAATGGTCATCAAAACTTGAGGATTAAGGTTCCAAAGTCACCGGTGGCCACAACCATGATGCAGAAAAACTTCCACTTGTACTTCAAAGACAAAGCCATTGCTAGTGACATAGAGAATGTGAACTTAATGGCTAAGCCAAGGACATCACTTGGCTCAGTCTTCTCTGGTCTCTTTGGAAACAATAGATTTTCACTTCCTAAATGTCCAATTAAAGAAAAGAAAATGGGAAAGAGAGACGTCATATCGCTGCAATGGCACTGGCGAATGAGTTTGGACCAAAACCGGTTGTAACCGCATTATCTCAGCTTCTTTCAATTGAGCGGGCATTGGAGAATGGTCAAAGAGGTGAAGGAAAGCAGAGCAGAATGGACAAGCATCGTCTGAAAATTTTATTGGGTTTTTTAGAGAAGAGAAAAGAGTTGAATAGCTTCATTGCATCTAAATGGAGGGCTGGTAAAAACAATTTGTATGGTGTTGTAGCCCGGTTTGGACAAGTTGGGGGGAAGGTTAGTTCGTGGCATTTGTTCAAGATTCCCTCCAAATTTGTGGTCATTGGCCTCAAGTTGAAAATGATAAGGTCTCTTGGGAAAAAGAAGGTGAGAAAGCAATTTGAAAATGAAAGTGGTGATAAGGATAATGAGAGAGAACTGTGCAAAAAAAGGATTCTCATGGGACGAAGATGCAGACCCTTGTTTTCTCCTAGCCCACGCTGCCTGGTATATGACGAAGACAGGTTTCTCTTGCCAAAACTTACTTCTTGACAAATGCATGGTTCCAATACTGCCAATTGTTTTAAATATGAATCTCTTATAGAAATATTACGTACCATTTAGCTATTGCATAGGTTCCATTTTATACCTTGCAACTAGGTGTGTAGTGTTACTTAATCATCATCACCACTTTTTTTTCAATTTTTTAAATTTTCTATTTTGTATTCTTAAGAAAAGATTTGTTATAATTTCACCATGAACATTGCCTGAGAAATGCCACCTTGTTTTTTCCCATAGTACAGAGATAAAGACAAACAAAACAAAAACACTATGGGCAACCAAGCTCATACCGGTGCAGCAATATGAGCACATACTTGTATGACAAACTATTTCTATTGAGTTGATAATTGTCACGCAGGGAAGTACAGGAACAAAAGTTGTATCAAGTGTCACTGTCACAAATTACAAGGTAACATGCTATTGGTTATGTGATTCGAAACCCAATGTATGCCATACAGTTGAGTTCACATCCTTAGTGGTTTCAAACCCAGTGATGCTCGTATCCTGTTTGCTTCGGCAATCTCTGGATCTGGATGGTCAGTCCCGTCATCCTTCTTTTCCTTCTTTTCTTTCTTCTCCTTCTTCCTATTTGGCTCCCCATCCTCAGCTCCATCTCCATGTCTTCTAGGACTAACGCTACTTCGGGCATGTCTCTTCCTGTAGTCCCCACCATCATGTTCCTTGTGATCCCTGCTTCTACTTCGACTCCTTGAGTAGCTCCTCCTCCTACCACGGTCGCGATCTCTGTCTCTCCTCTCTCGCTCCCTACCCTCTCTCTCACGACCATAATCCTTTTCTTCCCTCACACAATATCGGTCTCTGTCCCTCTCCCTATCTCTGTCCCTTTCCTTTTCCCTATCTCTGTCTCTATCTCGGCCACATGCACGCTCTCTGTCATAATCTCTATCATATTCTCTGTCATAGTCGCGATCCCTATGAAAAGCACATCAAAAAATCAAATTATTAGTAAAATTCATAAGCCAACAACTCAGTTACATATTTGATGGAATCACCTACTAACATGCAGAAAAGACAGGAGAAATACTACGACATTTTTTGTAAATATTCAAGGACTGCAACGCTATGAAAGTTTCAGCATATGTTCTTCCCAGCCTTGTAAAAGTTCATGTTTCTCTTGCCTCTACTATTGTTCTAGACTAAGGAATTTTCTTTCGTTGTATAAAAGCTTTGCATAAAATTTAAACTCTCATAGATGTTTAATAGTCATAACATATAACCATGTGGAGAATTATTCATATTAAACTCAGATTTAAAAAATAAGCAATGAGATAATCCAACATTTATTTAAAAGGGCAAATTCAATCCTAAATATACATGACCATGATCATGAAGAATTCTAATGCAACATAGCTGTTTGACCCATCATACTTCTCAACTGCACACTGTCAGTGCAGAGAAACCTGGCAGGATCATTTAATTTTACTATAGGAAGTGGTTGTATACCACAAATGGATTTTAATGCCATAGTGGAAATAGAAGTATAACTTAGTTAAGTTATATGTGCATATGTGGCGTGTGTCTGTGAGTGAGAGCAAGGCTCTGCACGTTCAGAAACAGCTTCCAATATAAATCCAAAAGATACACTCATGTACAAAGTCAACTATAAACCAAAAAAGCAAATAAAAAGTACAAGAGAAAAGCTATTTAAATGAGAACATTCCTATCTACATCAACTCATAAGAAGTTCAAAAACATTTGCAAGGTGAGAAGTTTGACCTGTGTCGATGACTTTCCCGTCTTCTATCCCTATCTCTTTCCCTTGTAGGGCTTCGCCCACGATAATAATCCTGTAAATCATTCAACAATCAACCAAAACATCATGACCATTTGCATAAATATCAAAAAATAAGATGAAAAGTATATTGCTTAAGAAAGGAAAGCACCTTCTCGTGGGTTTTATCTTCTAGCTCATCGGCAGGTTGTTCATTATCCTCATTCTCCTTTTCCTCCTCAAAATCCTCTTCAAGTGCACTTTGTCTAGGTTCTAATGAACCAAGAGATTCAAGAGTCCACCTACAGAAAACATATTATAAAAACTAAACTTCTCCACATCACAAGTGCCCACTACTCAAAATACTAACAAGAAAGAACAAAAAGACACAGAAACCTATCATGCAAGTATAGACTGAGCTAGCAGAATAAAAGCCTTAAAATTAAAACTAAACATTCCAATAGAGAAAAAAAAAGATACATTAAAACAATACCTTTTCTTGATGCGCGGCATAGCAATATCACAGGAATAATCAGTTGTGAGAAGTTCATCAATGACCTCATCAACATGTGTCAAAGCAAACTCTGCAAAATCACACGCAACACGTAACATTAACAAACAGATTATAGATAATTACATTGCAAGTAGAATACAAGATACAACTATAATTTTTATGGCGCAATAACATTTGAAAACTTACGTCCGTCAGCTAATTTTCGCCTTAGCTTTCTGTAATCATTATACAATGGTTCCAGGTAATGGTACACATCAGTATCAAATCCAGTAAGGCGCAGATAGAAAGCGCCAAGTATCCTCACATACCTGCATTTCATTTTGAAAACGGAACATTAACAAATTAGGTTACCGAAGAAAAGTAGAACCCAAATCTGAAACTGATAGTAATTTCTAGAGATAAAAGGCACGATGAATATTTGTAATCATCGTTTTTTATAAACTCGATGACGATTTCTTTCTCAGGCTGAATCTGGAGCATTTTCATGATAAGGCACATGAAGGGAGTGGGTTTGCGGTTGCCACCGTAGGTGCCGTCGAGGTGGTCGAGTTCCATGGCCTTGTCGAATAAGGTCTCCGCCGTTAAACCGAAACATTGTTCCTCCCAATAGGTGTTCTGATAGATCTTTGAGCGGAGAATTTTTTCCACTAGGTTCTGAGGATTTGTTCCTCTTATGCTCTTCGCTGCTGGATCCGTACGATTCGCCATTGGTAACGACGGATTGAAAGATGGAATTCGAATAAAGAAACCCTAAATCCTCTCCACTCGGGGAGGAAGAATCAGAGCTTCACGAAACGCAATAGTTGTTGGATTTTATAAAATATTCTCTACTCTTTTTACAAATTTTATAAATTAATTTTACATTATTATCCAATTGAATTATAATATTATCTATAACAATATATAAAGGCAATACATACATTGTTTTGGTGTAACTATTTATTTTTTAATTTTGTTTAATAATTCACATTATTATTCCATTAGCGTCCAAACGGACACGGACGTGCCCGTTTAGGATGAGAGTGACACTACCTTATTTTAGGAAATAATAATTAATTTTTTGAGTCACACATAGGTATAATTCTTAACTTAAAAATCTGAAGTTTAGTTTATATAGATATATAGACATAACCTATAGGTAGATAAACTAATTAACAAAATAAAAATAAAAATTTGATGAGTATTGTAACTTAAGTTTACTAGTATTATTATTAACTAGCGTCCAAACGGGAACTCCGTGCCCGTTTGTCCGCTTTTTTTATTGCGCTAACGCGTAAAAATATTAACAATGTCTTATTTTATAAGTTTGATTTTAATATAAATTATTTATATGAAAAAATATAAATGTTTACCTGCGTCATAACATAAATGTTTATTTTTATTTAATATGTATTCGCATGAAAATATAAACAACAGTTTTTGTCCGGTATTTGAGAAAGATCTTTCTATCAATAGATAGGATTTAATGTTCGATATAAGGGAGAGGATACATCTTCTCTCTTTTACTTAGATAGATTTTTTTAAAGTGAAAGCGCCATCCAAATAATGTCGACTTTCCCCTTTTCCACTGATATAAATTAAATAAATCGGATCCAACACAAAAAGCTCTTCCATATAACAGACTCACTAATCCTTGCAATCCCTATCCATCCAAACACTTTTTCTCAAATTTCCTCCGCCACCTTACAGTGAAAAAAGAGATGGTTCAAATCTTCTTTCGGATAGAAAATACAAACATAGGTCATCTTCTCGATTGGAATATATCTAGTTTTGGCATCATTAAAAGTTCGACTAAGGTAATATATGGCTCTTTCGACATCATTGTCATCCTCTTGGGCTAATAAACTCCCTAGGGTCAAATCTGAGGCCGGAATGTACAGTCTCATGCATCTGTTTCTAACTTACGGTGCCAGGATATGAGGATTTTCTAAATATGGCTTGATTTCGTCGAACATCTTCTGATACTCAAGTCTCCACACAAACTCTTCCTTCTTCAGACGGAGCAGTGGTGAAAATGTTTGTACTTTGCCGCTAAGGTTCGATATAAACTTTTATAAGAAGTTGATCTTCCCAAAATAATAATCTGACAATTGATTTTAATAGGATCCCATAATTTAAAGTAGAGTACAACTCCAAAATTTCATTATACAATATTATACAAAATCAATTTTATTACCGATAAAGAAGTTTAAATTAATGTTATCCTAAAATTTTAAAGAGAAATATATAATATAGTCTCAAATTAAATGTTATCAATAAATTAAATTACATAAGTTTTCATAATGTAACTTAATATATGTGTTAACTTTTATGTTTATTTGCTTAATAAATTTTGAGAAATATTTTTGTTCTTATTCTATCTAAATCTTCTTATGGTTTTGAGTAATCTATAGCAATATATAAATACAAAATTTAATTTTGGTGTAACCTAATTTCCTTTTCCATAATACGGTAATCCCAACCATCAAATTATTCCACTCACATTATTTATTTGCTTGAAAAAATTGGTTAAATAAAGTCACGTCACAATACAATTTTATCAATTCAAACAAAATTTAATACGTGAATATTAAATATTGTAAACAAAACTTAATATGTATCTGAATAAAAACAAAAAGTTTCATCATATAAATAGTTTATATTAAAATCAATATAAATAGTTTATAGTAAAATCAAATTTATAAAAAAAATTACGTTTTTAATATTTTTGCGTGTTAGCGCAATAAAAAAATAGACAAACGGAGTGCCTATTTGTACGCTAGTTTACGTAAACTTAATATTTTTTCAAATATAAAACTGTGCCCGTTTGGATGCTAGTTTAAATAAACGCTTTTTCAAATATAAAATCATCTTTAGATAATAGTAACTAATGTGATGTGACAATCTTCATTTTTTTTGTTATACAGAAAAAGAAATACAAATTGCACAACTTAGACGATAAAAAGATAACATAATAATAAATAAAAGAGAGTATTTTCTTGAACTTCCGAAATCGTATAAAGTTCTTCATTGTCTCTTAAGAGTATACACAACACCCATGATAGTCACAACCTTTCTTCTTGCATGATTAGTATATGAAGCAGCATCATGAATGATTTTTGTCAAGAAAACCTTGAGAAATAACATAGTTTCTTCATAGATCAAACTACTTATCCTCTTGACACCTCCTCTCCTAGCCTATCTACGAATCAATGGCTTTGTAATTCCTCAAACTTGTCGCGCAGAATCATCCTGTGCCTCTTTGCCCCTCCATTTCCGAGCCCCTTAATACCCTTTCCACGATTTGCCATTTTTGTAAGAAATTTTGAGAAACTGTTTATTCTTTTAAATTTTGAATGTGAAAAAGTAGAAGATGAAAGGAGTATTTATATATCATTATGAGCGGGAAATGAAGAAGATGTTTATCCTCTATCATTGGATTTAAAGTAATAGACGGTTTAGATTTGACTGAGTTTTTTCAAAAAAATTTAATTATTTTATAATTTATTTTAAAAGATTGTTTTTAAAATAAAACAAAATATTGGTTAATCATATTTTCAAAAATTGTATTTTAAGAACTCCAATGAATTGTTTTAGGCAATTATAATTCACTTATCCATACAATTCATTAAATTGTATGAGAAAAATTATTGATGATAATGATCAGTAATTATTTAACTTTTTAAAAGATAATATGTAATTATGATTATTTTAAGTATGTAATTTATCAAAACTTAGAGTGTACAGACTTTATAATCATTATCATTCAGTTTTATTAAGAAAAAGTTTTGGAAAAATTTAATCATAAATAAAATACATTATAAATCTTCAAAATTAAAACAATTAAATATATAATTAAATATAGTAATATTAGTTGAGTACGGAAGTTGTTATATGCTTCTATTTAATTCAATAATGGGATGAGTGGGTTATAAAGCAGTTAATCATTTTAGAAGTTACTACTACTTTTTTATTATCATTTCTTATTTAATTAATTTAATCAAGTGGAAAGTTGTTATATGCTTCTATTTCTTTCAGTAATGGGATTAGTGAGTTATAAAGCAGTTAATTATTTTTAGAAGTTACTACTACTTTTTTATTATTATTTCTTATTTAATTAATAAATTATTTGTTATTAAAGATGAAGAATAATAACTTACTAATCTATTAACAGTAAAAAAAAAGTGTAAAATGAAAAATAATAAACGGTTGGCGGTTAATAAACCTTTGTGTAACCGCCATTGTGAGAAAAAAATTAAAAATTTAAAAAAAATTAAAAAGGGTAAATTTGGAAGAAAAAAAGCTACACCAAAATCATCTATTGCCTTTATATATTGTTACAGATTATCATTCAGTTTTATTAAGAAAAAGTTTTGGATAAATTTAATCATAAATAAAATACATTATAAATCTTCAAAATTAAAACAATTAAATATATAATTAAATATAGTAATATTAGTTGAGTACGGAAGTTGTTATATGCTTCTATTTAATTCAATAATGGGATTAGTGGGTTATAAAGCAGTTAATCATTTTAGAAGTTACTACTACTTTTTTATTATCATTTCTTATTTAATTAATTTAATTAAGTGGAAAGTTGTTATATGCTTCTATTTCTTTCAGTAATGGGATTAGTGAGTTATAAAGCAGTTAATTATTTTTAGAAGTTACTACTACTTTTTTATTATTATTTCTTATTTAATTAATAAATTATTTATTATTAAAGATGAAGAATAATAACTTACTAATCTATTAACAGTAAAAAAAAGTGTAAAATGAAAAATAATAAACGGTTGGCGGTTAATAAACCTTTGTGTAACCGCCATTGTGAGGAAAAAAAATTAAAAATTAAAAAAAAAATTGAAAAGGGTAAATTTGGAAGAAAAAAAGCTACACCAAAATCATCTATTGTCTTTATGTATTGTTATAGATACTAGATATAGTAAGAGAAGAGACTGTAAGATTTATTTTGAGTGACCTACTAACTTAAAAATATAATTCTAACTTATTGCAAGAGATAGTAAAAAAAAAATGATATATAAACATAATTCTAAATTTAATTTAATTTAAATTATAAAATTAATATACATTTATGATGTAAAAAAAATGATACAAGCATAATTATCTAAACATATAATTTTTATAAACTAGATTATCTTCTTAAATATTATCTGATTTAATAAATAAATGAAAACATATTTTATATTGCAGTGCATTACTATTAATTTTATATATAAATATTAAATGTATTTTATATAGAAGCTATCTTGTAGACCAAGAAAAAGCAGAACCTATGTTGATTTTTCGCTTCACGTCCACGTCCCCACTCCTACGTTGGAAGTTAAATTTTGTACCCCACTTACCCTATTTTCTGCTACAAATTGTCGTCTCTATCGTAATAACAGAATAACTACTACCTCGTACGTCTATAGTTACTCCCATGAATGGTCATCAAAACTTGAGGATTAAGGTTCCAAAGTCACCGGTGGCCACAACCATGATGCAGAAAAACTTCCACTTGTACTTCAAAGACAAAGCCATTGCTAGTGACATAGAGAATGTGAACTTAATGGCTAAGCCAAGGACATCACTTGGCTCAGTCTTCTCTGGTCTCTTTGGAAACAAGAGATTTTCACTTCCTAAATGTCCAATTAAAGAAAAGAAAAATGGGAAAGAGAGACGCCATATCGCTGCAATGGCACTGGCGAATGAGTTTGAACCAAAACCGGTTGTAACCGCATTATCTCAGCTTCTTTCAATTGAGCGGGCATTGGAGAATGATCAAAGAGGTGAAGGAAAGCAGAGCAGAATGGACAAGCATCGTCTGAAAATTTTATTGGGTTTTTTAGAGAAGAGAAAAGAGTTGAATAGCTTCATTGCATCTAAATGGAGGGTTGGTAAAAACAATTTGTATGGTGTTGTAGCCCGGTTTGGACAAGTTGGGAGGAAGGTTAGTTCGTGGCATTTGTTCAAGATTCCCTCCAAATTTGTGGTCATTGGCCTCAAGTTGAAAATGATAAGGTCTCTTGGGAAAAAGAAGGTGAGAAAGCAATTTGAAAATGAAAGTGGTGATAAGGATAATGAGAGAGAACTGTGCAAAAAAAGGATTCTCATGGGACGAAGATGCAGACCCTTGTTATCTCCTAGCCCACGCTGCCTGGTATATGACGAAGACAGGTTTCTCTTGCCAAAACTTACTTCTTGACAAATGCATGGCTCCAATACTGCCAATTGTTTTAAATATGAATCTCTTATAGAAATATTAAGTACCATTTAGCTATTGCATAGGTTCCATTTTATACCTTGCAACTAGGTGTGTAGTGTTACTTAATCATCATCACTTTTTTTTTCTATTTTTTAAATTTTCTATTTTGTATTCTTAAGAAAAGATTTGTTATAATTTCACCATGAACATTGCCTGAGAAATGCCACCTTGTTTTTTTCCATAGTACAGAGATAAAGACAAACAAAACAAAAACACTATGGGCAACCAAGCTCATACCGGTGCAGCAATATGAGCACATACTTGTATGACAAACTATTTCTATTGAGTTGATAATTGTCACTCAGGGAAGTACAGGAACAAAAACTGTATCAAGTGTCACTGTCACAAATTACAAGGTAACATGCTATTGGTTCTGTGATTCGAAACCCAATGTATGCCATACAGTTGAGTTCACATCCTTAGTGGTTTCAAACCCAGTGATGCTCGTATCCTGTTTGCTTCGGCAATCTCTGGATCTGGATGGTCAGTCCCGTCATCCTTCTTTTCCTTCTTTTCTTTCTTCTCCTTCTTCCTCTTTGGCTCCCAATCCTCTTTAAGTGCACTTTGCCTAGGTTCTAATGAACCAAGAGATTCAAGAGTCCACCTACAGAAAACATATTATAAAAACTAAATTTCTCCACATCACAAGTGCCCACTACTCAAAACACTAACAAGAAAGAACAAAAAGACACAGAAACCTATCATGCAAGTATAGATTGAGCTAGCAGAATAAAAGCCTTAAAATTAAAACTAAACATTCCAATAGAGAAAAAAAAAGATACATTAAAACAATACCTTTTCTTGATGCGCGGCATAGCAATATCACATGAATAATCAGTTGTGAGAAGTTCATCAATGACCTCATCAACATGTGTCAAAGCAAACTCTGCAAAATCACACGCAACACGTAACATTAACAAACAGATTATAGATAATTACATTGCAAGTAGAATACAAGATACAACTATAATTTTTATGGCGCAATAACATTTGAAAACTTACGTTCGTCAGCTAATTTTCGCCTTATATAAGACATTATGAGTCTGCAGTTCTGACATTCATACAGCTTCAGAAGATTGCCCTTCATGGTAACTGAAAAACCTTTCTCAATTAATTGTATTACACTCATCAGATTGTTTCTGATGCCAGGTACATACCACACGTTCTGAATCAATGTTGTTTTCCCATTGTTCGGAATCACTCTGACATTTCCCATACCTTATGCGTTAAGATATTTGTCATCAGCACATCTGATCTTTGTCCTCTTTTCAGAGTCAAAGTCAACCAGCAATTTCTTGTTTCCAGTAAGATGATTTGAGCAGCCAGTGTCCATATACTACCAGTCTGTCAGATCCATATCATCAGATTCAGAGGCCATCAATAGCACAGATTCGTCATCAGAACTTCTGGCTATATTTGCTTCTTTTGTTTTTCTCTCCTTGTTTGACCAACAATCTCTAGCAAAGTGACCAAACTTCTTACAACAGTAACATTGGATATTCTTCTTGTCATACTTCTCTTTTCCCTTCTGAGCATTATTTTGTCTATCAGAGGTTGAGCTTTCTGACTTCTGACCACCATCATATCTTCTCCTGGCTTCTGACTGCTTCTGATACCTCCTATCAGAAGTTGCTTTTAGAGCCTGCTGCTCTACTTCCCTTTCAGACGTTCTCTCAGTCAAACGCAGCTCTTGCGCTTCTAGACTGCTTTGCAACTCTTCAATTCTCATGGTGCTCAGATCTTTGGAATGTTCTATTGCTACCACAATGTAATCAAATTGAGAGGTAAGAGATCTCAATACATTCTCCATGATTGTTTCTTCAGAAAGAGTTTCTCCACACGCCTTCATCTCATTAGTGATCAAAATTATTCTGGAGATGTATTCAGAGACTTTCTCATTATTCTTCATGTTGAGATTCTCATATTGCTTTCTCAAGGACTGAAGCTTCACCTTCTTCACTGATGCGTCACCACCATAACATCTAACAGTGTGTCCCACGCAGCCTTTGATGTCGTTGAATCTGCAATATTCTCAAACACATTTACATCAGCACATTGATGAATGAAGAACAATGCTTTCTGATCCTTCTTCCTTACTTCCTTCTGCGCGTTTTTCTGTCCATCCGTCGCATCTGCTGCTACCAGAACATAACCATCAGTGACAAGATCTAGCACATCTTGAGCACCAAACAGTACACACATTTGGATCATCCAACGATTCTAGTTTTTACCATCAAATACTGGAAATTTGGTGTTCATGTTGTCGTTTCCGTTCATCTTCAACCTTGCACAATACACTCAGATTTCTCACACAGTGTTTCCCAACCCACAGAATTAAAATTCTGATCAGATTTTGTTCAAGATTCAACACGAATCTAAGAATCAAAATCAAACACATAAGACCTCACGTTCACTCGTGTTTCCCGTGTTTCCCAATGAATCTGAACCGAAGCTCTAGATACCAATTGTTGGTGCAAAGGTAAATAAAATGATGAACAAAGAGAATATTCTATTGAAGAGAATGACGACTACAAAAAACATGACTAAAGTTACAATGATTGTCACCCTATTTATAAGCTTAAAACTAGGGTTACTAGAATAAGATAAAATACCAAAATACCCTCTAACAAACTTAGGGGCTAAGAAATAGTACAACTAATAAATATGAATTACTTCTAATAAATTTTCCTTCTCCAATAGTGTGACTAATTGAACCTGCAAAATAAAAACCAAGGTTAGTTGAAATCACCCCACTTCTGATTAAATCCTTCCACCAATAAGACGCCGCTCCCTTCGATTTATTAAACTCCGACAACATCTTATTCTCAACACAACCATATCTCCCTTTTAAAACCTCCTTCTAAACAGAAACTTTGTCTTCCATCATCTCCCAATTCCTTTAACACAACTATATCTCCCTTTTAAAACCTCCTTTCAAATAGAAACTTTGTCTTCCATTATCTCCTTTTTAATAAACTTTTGATTAAAAAATTTAATGATATATTTTTTTAATGTTAATCTACCATTTCTAATATAATATTTTTTATTTATCTTTTAATTTATATATCTAGAATACAAATTAGCATTACCCTAAAATAATAATTTTAAAAAATATATTTGTGTTAAATTTATTGGATATATACTAAATACACGCTAGCATAATGGTAAAATATTTGAAGTTAAAATTTTTCTTTAGTAGTGATGATACATATTTGAATTTAATTTCTTAAAAGTAAATAAAACTTTTTAAGTCAGTTTGGTGATATCTGATTTAATAAATAAACTTTTTAAATCACTTAATAAACACATGTGATTTAAAAAATTTAATACAAATTATATTTTTTATTTAATTTTTATTAAATCAATTTTAAATATATCCGACCTAACTAAATTAAAAATATTTATGAAATTATCGCCACATTACTTCATAATTTAGGTGATCGGTGAGTTGACTTAACAAATTCGATTAAAAATGTATTTTGTAATAGTATATACACAAGATTAAATAACAAACTTTTCTATCTATTTAAAAGGTAGTTACATAGAGATTAATTACATGAATAATTAATTTTAGAGTAATGCTAACTTATATTTTAGGAGTACAAGTTATAAAAAGTCTATTTATCAAAAAATTAGATTGAAAAAAGTAATAAAACAGTTAATTATATATTTTTATTAAAATTAATACACAATTTATAAGATAATATTTTTTTATTTAATTTTTAATTTATGTCTTTAAAATACAAGTTAGAATTATCCTTAATTTTAAATTACATATAATTGACTATCATTAAATGGTAATATGTGAAAGGGTTTACCATAGATTATATAGAAAGAAGAAAAAAAAGAAATGTATTGATAGTGTAAAATATTTTACTCTATCAACCAATCACAATCATATATCAAAATAAAATATATTTTAATGTTAAAAATACTAATATTACATAATAATTAAAGACATTTTAATTGGTTGCATGTCTAAAACTGTTTTACACTGACCGTAGACTATCTTTTAATCCTATATAAAAATTGTATGTATTTGAATTTTAAAGATGTGCACGGAGTTTATGATTTAAACTTGTTTTTTTATTGTATTGAGTATGTTTCAGGTTAAGAGATTTGTTGGATTATTATAATGCATCCAAATTTCAAATTTTATGGCATTAAAATCGGTCATTTTGAATTTAGTAAAGTTGAGATAGAATTCATAAGTATTTATTAGTTTATTTTTATTCCGTTTTAAAATGATTGTCGTAGAGAAAAATTTTATTTTAAAATGAATATCATTTTCTCTTTTTTTAATTGTGTTGTATAATTATTACTATACACACTATTTTGAACATATTAATAAGATTAATTTAATAAAAATATACTATTTTATAACAATATCATTGCATTCTTTAATATATGTACTCAAATTTTAAAGGATAGTCATTTTAAAACGAATGGAATATATATATATAAAAGAGAATTCTGTTTGAACAAAACCGGTGAAGTAGGCGGGCCTTATATGATGATGAAAGAGATGATCTGATTTGAGGATGCAGATGATGAGGTTCCTGGAACGTGTCTTCTTTCGCCCGGAAAGTCGAAACATTAATTTATTGGTCCACAATATAGTGATATAGGAGTAGTACATGTAATATTACTAGTTGAATACAAATTTTATCCTATCACACAGTTAGAAGTTAGGAACGTCTCTGGCTTGGTATACTAGTGTCCATTCAAAATTCGAATGATGATAGCGTGGGGAACACGTATAGGTTTTGTAGGTAAAACAGATCATGACCGTTGAAATTGGAGAAAGAACCTGAGAGATGACGTGTGGGGTGGAATTGGTGGGGTTTTATGGGTAATTAACCAAAAGAAGAGGGTGAGGTGGGTCAGTGAAATCTGATGTTAAGATTTTGAGAAAGACCCATTCCCATTGGGCCATCACGTGGGAATATGACCCACCAGTTCCCTTAAAGCCAAAGCATCTCATCAGATCAGACCGTACCATATTGTCACATATACATACACATGATGATGATAATAATTTAATGCTTTTTAAGTTTTCTAGTGTGCTTTTCAAATATTGTGTGAGTGACTAACTGATTTGCAGACAAAAACACGTGACCTAACTTCTCTATCCACTATCCATATCTTGAACCACATTTCTCTAACTTAATCTCAACCTCCCATCCCACTCATATAATAATAATAAATAATAATAATAATAATAATTATTATTATTGTTATATTTATAGAAAACTATTCTACTGATTATGGAATCGGGAAAACCTATGTTATTCATTTACAAGCGTGTAAAATGACTTTCTTCGGTTACTAACACCATTAACACAAAACATGCTCAAATATTTTAGGGTAATGCTAGATACAAATTAATTAAGAACTAAATTCTATGACTACAGATTAAGAACTAAATACATAAATGTTTTCTTAGATACTGTACATTGAATTTACTAAAAAAAATTAGTTTTATTTTTTATTTTACTTTTAACACAAACTTTCTATTGGTCAGCTTTAACATGTATCTTAAAGCACAAATTATTATTACACTTAATTTTATTATGTTTTGATCAAGTTTAGAGTCTTTGACATACCAATAAATTTTAATAAATTTGAGAGAAAAAAAATCAATTAACTTATATTCAACTATTCAATTATGTTGGTTATAAAAAAACTATTCAACTAGGTCTTTTCTGCCACAAATTACTATTGGCTAACAATCCTTAAACTCTAAAACCATCTTTATGTAAATTTTAAATGACATTTTAATTATTTTGAAATATAAATATTTTTTTAAAATATAGTATGATTTAATTGTACTCTAAAAAATTATCAAATTTAAAAAGAAAATTGAAGGTTAAAACAAATAAATAGTGATATATAATTAATTAAGCATTTGCTTTACAAAGTGTACCATCAATACATAAATACTAAAGTCTTAATATGTGTAAAATGATTTTAAAATGAAATATTTAATAATTCATATAAAACATACAATAAATTAATTTCAAGTAACAATCCATATAAAACATACAATAAATTAATTTCAACTAATACATCATCAGCAATATTTTTAGTCCAGACAATTTGCTTGCCAAATCTAAATATCCTAGCACGTGGAAGCTAATTATTATAATTTCAAAATGGCGTCATTATTTTCAAAATTGCGGGAAAAAGAACAAATTAATTTCAACTAATAACATAATTATATTTTTTAAATAGTAAACAAATGCAAATTGAAAATTCATACAAAATTCTCCACCAATTCTTCATGTTTTAATTTTCAATCAAGGGCGACAAGATAAAAAGCTCTTCAAAGTATTATCACATGCAAATAAAAGAAAAAATATTCAACAATGAAAAAATAGTAGTACTATTTAATAATATCTTTAGATTTTTAAAACTAGATATTCTATAATGATTTATAAACATATAAAAGGCGAAGAAAATCCAAAATTAAAAAACAATGATAATTAGAGTAACTATAATTTTGTACCTATTACTAGTTACAACACATCCTCCTCAACCAAAAAAATACAATGGTTGTGGGGATAATATAATACTACTCCTTGTATTTCTTCTGTTCTGTTTAACATGCAGCAGAAGGATTGTTGAAAGGATTATAAAAGTGAGAATTAGGAGCCATAGTAAAAGCAGTGATGATCTTCTTATTTGATCCACCGCCTTCTGCAACACGGCCGCCGAGCCGGTCGCAGGAAGGGCAAATGGACAGAGTAGCGGCCGGCATAGGCATGTATAAAGGCTGTGCCGATAGTTTCAATGTTTTCAGCTCTTGAAGCTCCTTCTTTAGTCTCCTGTTTTCTTCTGTTAATGTTTCACAACATTTCTTCAAAAACTCACAGTCTACCTCTGTTTGTTTCAACTTTGTTCTGCAACACCCAAATCAAAATAATCAAATTATATAATAACTTTTTTTTGAAAAATCAGTAATAAATGGTAAAAATATTATAGAAAAATAATAAATAATTATTTAATTGAATAAAAATATATATTTTGTACTATATAGAGAATATATAGAATAGAACTGTTGATTTTTTTCCATCAAAAGTTAAAGTTCCGTACCTGGCTCTCCGATTCTGGAACCACACTTCAACTTGTCGTGGCCTTAGACTCAATTGTTTCGCTAAAGCTTGTTTTTGTTTCTGAAAATCCAAATTTCAAAAATTATATAAATAATAATAATTAGTCATTAATTAATAAATTAGAAGAGAGAGAGAAAAAGTAATTACAGGATTGAGAGTGCTGTGTAATTTGAAGCTTTCTTCCAGTAATAGTGATTGTTCTTTGGTGAGTCTAAGTTTCTTTCTAGTGTTTGTTCCATCTTCATCTTCGTCGCTGATTATTCTAGAAGAAACTCTCTCTTCTTCTTCTACTATGTCTTCTTCTTCGTCTCTCTCCCTTTTCACGTGCAGTATTCTCCCATTTGAGAACGACGAAACAGTAACGCTGTGAGGCGAGGAAGTTTGTCTACAAAGCTCTTCGCCATAGGTTTTATTTTTGAGAGGTTGTTTATAGCTCTCGCCGGAGAGTGCCAACGTTAGGGATGGCTCGTTGGAGGAGGAATAGTAGGGATTCGCGGCGGTGGTGGCGGTGGTTGTGGTAGTGGTTGTTTCCTTTGGAGTAGTTAAGGATAAGCCTAGAACAAGATGGAGATTTGAGTTATTGGAATCTTGATTATTGTTAATGAGAGCCATTTGATAATTGAGAGAAGAGTTTAGAGGGTGGAGGGTTGATAGAAAAAAATTAGATATATGGTGATGGTTTTAAAGGGAGGTGGAGAATGAATGTGAGACTTTTTTTGTGTGGGGGCGATGGGTTGGGTGGGTGGGTGGCCATGATTATTATTAATCATAATCAAACGGAGGAATGAGTCTAGGGACACGAATCTTGGTGTAATATGGGAAATATATTGAAAGAAAGAAAAGAAAAGTCTTTTTTATATTTATATTCTTATACAAAGGTTGACCATTTGTACCTCAATACTCTTTGCTACAATTATTGCTCCCCTATATTTTACGAAGAATATGATACTAGTATTTTGAATTTTTTAGTCTTAGTATTTTGAGTATTTGACAGTATTTGATAGAAGTATTATTTATTTATTATTAGAACAATGTTAGGAAAACATTTTTTAACACAAATATATCAAGATCAAATAGTCATGATTTATCAATGGCATTTGAACTATATGATTTTGTCGATTCAATAATCTAATTAGTTTGAAAATATTATTTTAAACCGTATAAATTATTGTTTTAATTTATATATGTTTTTAGATTATTTAAGTATGGTGATAATAATTTATTTTGAATGAATTTATTTTAAAATTTTAATTTTGATAAAAATTGAGTTAAAATTGAAATAATTTATATTTTAAATATATTTACAAAAATGAGTTGAACAATAAATTTAAATTTTAGAACAAAATATTTAAAAATTATAATTTAAAATTAATTTTAAAGATAAAATTAATAATATTTTAGAACAACTAATGTCAAAATTAATTGTAGACTTAAATCTTTCAAATTATCTAAATTATTAATTTAATCTTTAAATTGTATTCTCTCTCTCTCTCTAAATATATGAAAAGTATAACTCCTTAAAACATACCAATTTAATTCCTACGTATGTAAGTTCATGTCATTTTTTATATTTTCCTTTTTAACTTATTAAATTTAATCATTGGTTATACTAAAACTTTTTCATTTATTAATAATTTAAAAAAAAGTACTATATTAATTTTCTCATCCACTTTATACATCTCACACTATGTAAATGATAAGGTATCCAACTATAAGCATTAATCATAGAAAGATTGCTTCATAAGTTATTTCCTCAAACAAACATAACAATCAAAAAAATTTAAGACCATGATTAGAAACAGGTGTATACATAAATATACATGTGTGTTTGTGACAAAGTTATGGAACAGATCCACATGCACTGTCTCCCACTCCATCTCTGATTGAACTAGCTAGAGATGGGTGCCATGTCACTTTGCTTACCAATATATTGCATACTTTTTTAATGAATGTGGAATTTAAGGTATGGTGTTGGACGTTTTTTTCTTCTAGGTTATTATGAGGGTGTGTAGGATTAGAAAGGGATGTACACTGTTTGTTTGTTTCAAATAGGAAATAGGATTAAAGAAAGTAGGTAAAACACACAATTGGAGTTTTAATGAGTTATAATGGTGCCAGAATATGATTCATCAATGAGAATTCGGATCTTTGCTTAACTAGAAAGTTGATGTCGAGTGTTTGGGACCTACTTGTTTGTATTAGTACTATAACTCAATAAGAGGTTCAAATAATGAATTATATGTCGGCTATGTTAAGCCAAAGTTAGGTTACTCGTAGTTAATGATAAGGCTAAAATAATTTATATGCCGGAAATATAAAAGGGTTGGCTTCAAATTTCTTGTATGGGTTCTAGTAAGGTTTAGATAAATGTGTCATATTTTTACATAGTAGGTTTATTATTATTTGGAATTAGACGAATTGTCATTTTAACATTAACTTTTTTTTGGGCGAAGTTTTTAATTTGTACTAATATTTAGCGACTTTTTTTCTTTTTATAAAAATACTTTTTTTATTATTTTTTTTAAGTAATTTTTATTTACACTTTTTTCAACAATATTTAACGTTTCTCTATGATAAAAACAATCACTACCACCACAAATTTAAAAGGATGATATTCTTTGAGCAATTTCAAATTTGAATTTTTTTTAAATTAGATAAAATATCTCCTACTTAACTTCAAGTAAGGTGGATGAATTTCATGTTCAGGTCATGGAACGTGGTATGCTGTAAATGTGTCTTAAAATCTTTGTTGATGAGAAGAAAGAAAACATATTTTAGAGATTACATTTACCACAAAAATCAAAAGTTTTAGAGAGTCGGATGAAAAGTCGAAGAAAAAAAATTCGGTCGGTGAATAGTATCGTCCGTACGGATGAGTTGGAAAGCTGCTCTCTCCTCCAGAATAGATCGTTTGATCGAACTAGATAAACAAACCTTCAATTTTTTCTTTTCTTATTCTATTATATTATATTTGTACGGATTATTATTGTTGAATACCATTTATTTTGGTTGTTATTATTCTTTACCTCACAAATTGATATTGAATTTTGTCGTAATTCACAACAAGATTCACAACAAGTGGTGTGGTGAGTGTGGAGTAAAGAGATATTGTTGACAAGTGAGCACCATGGTTAGTAGATGGCAGATCGGAAAATTTTTCGGTAATAACGACTTCGTGTTGTGGAAAATTAAGATGCAAGCAATTTTAATTCAAGAGAATTGTATCGATACTTTGAAGAGTGAAGCATTGATGCCTGCATGATTTACACAGGTACAGAAGACCGAGATCGTGGATAAGGTCAGGAGTGACATTATCTTGTACCTCAGGGATAAAGTTCTAAGAGGAGTCGCCAGGGAGCAAACTGCGGTTGCTATGTGGGCCAAACTTGAATTATTGTTTATGACAAAGTCTTTGACTCACAGGTTGTATCTGAAACAATAATTATATTCATTCTGAATGATGGAGAATAAATTCATAGTTGAGAAGCCCATAGAATTTCACAAGACTTTCGATAATCTTGAGAATATTGAAGTGAAAATTGACGATGAGGACAAGACTTTGCTCCTATTGAGTTCATTACCCAAATCCTTTGAGCACTTTAAGGATGCCCTTATTTATGGTAAGGAAGGTACTATTACTTTGGATGAAGTCCATACGACGGTGCAATCCAAAGAATTCTCAAAGTCGAAAGATTTGAAGATGGAAGATAGTGGTGAAGGCTTAAATGTGTCAAGAGGAGGAGGTGAGCATAAAGGGATGTCCAAATAAAGAGGTCTGACAAGTCAAAGGTAAAATATCTTAATTGTCAGAAATCAGTCACTTTAAAAGGGATTGTTTTGAAAGAAAGGTCAATGAAGATTTTGTTCAAGTTGTAGTTGCATTGAGTGAGGAAAGTTATGAGGATGCCGAAACACTAGTAGTATCGAGTTTGGAAGCTGAAAATAATTGGGTCATTAACTCAGGTTGCTCTTATCACATGTGTCCAAGAATAGAATACTTTGAAACTTTGAAGATGGTGCAAGGTGGCGTAGTTTGCCTTGGTAATATTAAGGCATGCAAGGTTCATGGTATTGGTACAGTCAGATTTAAAATTTTTAATGATCGTGAACTTCTTATTCAAAATGTGAGGTATGTTCCAGAACTCAAGAGAAATTTGTTATCTATAAGTATGTTTGATGATCTAGGCTATTGTATTAGAGCTATGGGATTTTAGTTTAAGGCGTTATGAATGCCTTGAGAAAGTTTCAGAGGAGTACAATAAATTTTGCATAAATTAAGGGATAAAAATGCATGTTACCGCTGAGTTGTTATTGAGTTTTTAGGGAAGAGCTGAGGTTAAAATAGCTTACTTGGTTGGTAGAGAATTTCTTCAGAAGAAGAATAGTGAAAACCAAGGGAGAAACCTGGGAGAAACTATAGCGGAGAAAACTCAGTTTGAGGTGGAGTTTCCTACTATGGATGCTAGCAGTAGTGAGGGAACAGTTACAGAGATCTCTGATTTTCATTTGACTCATGATAAGGTAAGGAGGGTTATTGTAGCATCTCAAAGGGACGGTTATGCTAGCCTTGGATATTATGTTTTTAATGTGGCTGAAGGACTGCAAAATAAAAGAAGAAAAACCTTTAGGGAGGCATTTGAAAACAGGTGGAGTCAAGGATGGTTGAAAAATCATACTTGTAGGCTTGTTAAATTACCTAGGCAGAAAAGGGTAATTGAGAACAAGTGGAAGCAAGTTGCGAGATCAAGATTCAAGGGTTGCTTGAATTTGATCAAAGTTATTGATTAAAGTTTCAACTTGGTAGAGAGCAGCAATGTTATTAATTGTTAAATTGGTATCAACACGGTTTAAAGTCAAGGTGGAGATTGTAGTAAATGTGCCTTAAAACCTTTGTTGATGAGGAGAAAGATAACATATTTTGGAGATTGCATTTACCGCGAAAATTAGAAATTTTAGAAAGTCGGACAAAAAGTCGAGAAAAAAAAAATCGGGCGGTGAATAATGTTGTCTGTACGGATGAATAGTGACGTCCGTACGGATGAATAGTGATGTCCGTACGGTGAATAGTATTTTCGATTTTTCAGGCTTTTTTCGATTTGATCCATGGATCCATATGATTTTGGGCTTTGTTTGTTGGGTATTTGCTATTATAAATATGTATCTCTTATATGTCTGGTGTGTGACAAACTTAGAGTTTTCACCAATAAGGGAGACCAAGGGTTTAAAGGTATAACATAGTGTTTCAGCTATGCACAAAGAAAACCTTGAATTACACTTTGAATTTGAGTGATTCATATACTGAGAGTTTGAGAGGTAGGGAAACACTTGGGTATAAAATAAGGTTGTTCTTGGACGCCTTCAGGGTTGTTCTTGGGAATCTGAAGGCGAAGGTTATTTTCTTATAACTCATCTGTAATTTATTGTAACAACTTTCTAAGTATAGTAAATTGAAGAGCTTCTCTCTCCCCCAGAGTAGACTGTTTGGTCGAACTAGGTAAATAAACCTTCTGTTTTTTCTTTTCTTATTCGGTTATATTATCTGTGTATGAATTATTATTGCTGGACACCATTTATTTTGGTTACTATTATTCTTTGTCTCACAAATTGATATT